CTCCTCTCTCCTCCTCCTCCTCCTCCTCCTCCTCCTCCTCCTCCTCCTCCTCCCTGAGAGTCCCCCGAGGTCGCCAGTACTAGGGAGCCCGCAGAGGACGTACGCGCCCAGCTATGTGCATGAACGCGGCCCCTCGATCCGCGAGACTGGCCGCGCAACACGAACATTCGGGCAATGCGTACTCTCGAGACCAGCGTGGATTCATGTACGTGTGCGTCCTCATTTCGCTCCTGAAGTACCCAGAGTTCTTTGGAAGCCTCCAGGAGCCTCCAGAGGCCTCCAGAAGTCCAAGGCGGGCAAAACAACACAACTCGAGTTGGTCCTGGAATCTCGACGAACATCCCGAGCGGCAACAGGTCGAGCTCTCGAGGCAAGCGTCTTCCGTGTTGTCCAGGGTGGACTTCTCGCGACCAGTGCCGGATGCTTCCCTGCGCCGATGGGCCAGAAACCACCGCAGAGGCCTCCCGTCGCGATCTCGTCCTCACGACGAGAGGGTGCCAACTTCCTCCTGACATTTCCGAGCCAACCCAAGCAGAGCCTTCCACCCACCGAGGGGCCAACTGGCCGCGGGCCGTGCACACTGGCACCGTGCTGAATACTAGCACCGCCTCCTCTTCCCCCTCGACCGCCCTCCATCCCTCCCTTCTTCCTACCTCCTCCTCCTCCCTCCTCCTCGTCCTCCTCCTCTCCTCCTCCATCCTCCTCCTCCTACCTCCTCCTCCTCCCCCCCTCCCCCTCTCCCTCTCCCTCTCCCCTCCCTCCTCCTACCCTCTTCTTCCTCCTCCTCCTCCCCTTCTCCTCGACCTCCCTTCCTCCTACCTCTTCCTCCTCCCCCTCGACCTCCCTTCCTCCTACCTCTTCCTCCTCCCACCTCCTCCTCCCCGCTCCCTCGCGCCATGCGGCGCCTGGCCCCCACCACCCGACGCCGCCCCCTCCCCCCCCCCGGCCTGGGCCGCCGCGGGGTAGCCACCCGCGCCCCAGTGGGGGGGCACGCCGGCGCGCGCCGACGCCATGAGCCTCGGGCAGCTCGAAGACGACGACGACGACGACGACGACGACGACGACGACGACGACGACGACGACGACGACGACGACGACGACGACGACGACGACGACGAGCTCGACACGAGGGAAAAAGCCCCGATAGAAACAGCACAATACCTACTTTCGGCCACGACTCGGGCCTCCCGCGGCCGTTCGGCACCCTTCGGGCATACCCCCGGAACGCCCCTGGCGAGGCGCAGCTGCTGGAGAGCACCCCGAGGCTGGACAAAACCGCGGAGGACCCACGAAGGCGCCCGAAAACCTTTCGCCTCGAGCCCGAGGCGACGCCGATGCTGACGGCGAGGGCCGCGGAGGAGCCACGCAGAGGTCTGGGAGGCCTCCCCGCCTCGCCCGTGCCAGCAGGCGGGAGGGCCGCGGCCGTTCCTAGCTCGGGCCGGTCTGACGAGGCGCCGCCGTCGCCGCAAGCCCACCCAGGAGCGCCTGGAGGAACGAGCTGCGCCGATCGCACGCCTGAGATCGTCGATAACCATACGGACCTCCTCCTCCTCCTCCTCCTCCTCCTCCTCCTCCTCGTCGTCCTCGTCCTCCTCCTCCTCCTCCTCCTCCTCCTCCTCCTGCTCCCCCTCCTCCTCCTACTCCTCCTCCTCGCTCTGTTCCTCCCGCCACCCCAGGTGCCTCCGTTAGGCCGGGCGTGTCCCCCTTCAGGCGGAGCTTGGACGACAAACTCGAAACATACACACCGAAGATCCTCACCCCCCCCACCCCCCCCAGCAAAAAGGGTCAACACAAATCGCCCCCAGGCTGTCTTGTGGCCTGCTCTTGACTCTGTCCCTCGTGCAGAGGGGCCCGCCCGACTCAAAGCCATGCTGCTGGAGACCTGCGGCCTGCCCCCGCGGCGAACGTCGGAGGAGGGCCCCCCCCGCCGCGCCCCCCCCCAGCGGCCCGCCTCTCGGCGTAGAGTCTCTGCATGGCCGCGGCGGTGGCGGCCTGGCAGGGCCACTGGCCTCGCGGTTCGCGCGGGGGCGGGGGCGGAGGCGCGGGGTGCTCCCGAGCTCGTCGCCGCGGCGTCCCTCCACCTCCTCCTCCTCCTCCTCCTCCTCCTCCCCCTCCTCCTCCTCCTCCTCCTCCTCCCCCTCCTCCTTCCCGTTTTCCTCCTCCTCCTCCTCCTCCTCCTCCTCCTCCTCCTCCTCCTCCTACTCCTTCCCTCCTTCCTCCTCTTGCACCTCTTGCTCCTCCTGCTGTTCCTTATCGTCCTTCTCATCCTCTTCCTCCCTCTCCTTCTCCTGCGCTTGCTCCTGCTGGTGCTGCTGCTACTCGTGGTGCTCCCCCCTCATCCCTCCCACCATCCTCTGGATCCTGCTCCTGCGCTTTATTCTCCGCGCTCCCGGTCAATCATTATTACCAGCGGCACTGCTCCTCTTCCCCTCGCCCTCCCCCTCCTCCTCCAACCCTGCACCCTTCTCTTCTTTCTCTCATCTCTTTTCTTCGTCTCGTC